ATTGTATCTTCTAGATATTGCCGCAGGTTACGAAATTTCCAACTCTTAAGGAATTATTTGAAAGACCTGGAAGAAAAGGTACATTTTTTCTACTTAAAATATCATTTAGAATGTACAGCTATTCTTTTTGCTGATGGCCTATTGTCAGCATCAGCTTTATATTTTTGACTTATTATATATTTACAGGGATGGTTTTTACATCGCCTTCGTTTGATTTGTTCATTTTTGTGATGTTGTCTTTAATTTTAGTGAATATTTTTGGTTTGCCAGATTGCTTTAATATTATAATGATATGCTTATAGAGATCTTCAGATGAAGCTGTATCCACCTCTACTACAACATTAGAGAAGCTTATTTGAACAGTCAATTAGCCACTAATTATCAAAGAACTATACAAGCAGTATATATGAAATTATACCAAGTGACTTAAAGTTGACACCGCTTGTGGCATTTTTGTGAATAGCGCCCTCTATTTGTGTACTTTGTTATATAGGAGACTATGTATATGCATTACCATAAACTTTAGATCAGACAATAAGCAAATTATTTGATTTATTACTTTTAATGATCATTTATTCCAATAACGCCCAACTGGGGATGTATTACTATCACTGTATTTAAAAGTTTTGTCACAATATTTTTGTTTCAGGGCTGCATCCGTCACTTACAAAGTGCTGGGCTAGGAACACAGCAACAGAGGAGGTAGATTATTCAACAGATGAAGAACGGGCAATTTGGTCTGTTGCTTATCTGCATCCAAGAATTTCTCCACCAAGGACAGAAGAGAGTGAACTTGACAGTAGGGATAGTGTTTCTAAGGTATTGGGGCATAGATATATCAAAAAATGTTCCTGGTGAATTTAATTTTTAAACCTGATGCATCCGGGTGGCTTTTTATTCTTTTTCTGAAATTGTCATTAAATTTAGTTGTTCATGTAGCTGAACTTTTTTCAAAATTATGACAAAAATAAATATGAGGATGAGGTGACTTATGCCAGTATTTTTAAATATTCAGGGGATTATGCCAGTATTTCAAATTATTCAGGGGGGTGATGCCAGTGTTTCTAATTATGGGGGGGGGGCAGTATTTCTAATTATGGGAGGTGGGGTAATGCCAGTATTTCTAATTATGGGGGGGGGGGGGGGTAATGCCAGTATTTGTGGGAGGAGATAATGCAGTTTTTTTTTTTTTTTTACTCTTCTTAATCTCAAATATTTTTAATAAAGTTTTCTATGTAAGGTTGTATTTTCCAGAATGCTAATTACTTGCTAACAACATTGGAGAAATGAAACTAAATGCAATTTCATTTATTGTCATATCCAAGAAATGATTTATTGTGCATTAATGCCATTATGATACTGAAAATGAACTAAAAAATGCAGGAAAAATAAGAATTCAGCGTGTCATGGAAAGCGAAAAAAATTTGCATTTTTCACAGGTTTCCATGGTAAAATTATTTCTTAATAATCTTGAAATATAATTTTACTTAAGTTAGTGACATGAGATTGGAAAAGTCATATATTATTTTTGATATGAATTCCAATATTTTTAAAACATTTCAAAAATAACTGACATCTAAATCAGTGAATTTCAAAGGTTATAATAGTTTCCTTCCCTCTGAGTATATGTACAAGTTCCAGCAGTGCAAGCCTAGTAGTGCAAAATTTGAATCCATTGCAAACTGCCTTAAGGTAGCGAGACTATTATTTGTGTTGAAAATTACGATTTTCACATTTATTTATTAATTCATGAAATGCACTATAAACTTTCATGTGATAAAGTCAACATAACATAGAATGTCATGTAAGTTGGTTAAAATGTAGATTTTCTGAAGGGAAGCAAGGCAGCCTCAGTAGTGTTTTCCAAAATCAACAACACAGGTTTAATCTGTGTGCCTATAAGTTTCAAAGATTAACTCAAGACAAAGCAATGTTAGGATGTGTTATCAGTAGCTATCTGACACACAATGAGTGTTTCCAAACATTTGAGAGGTTTGTCTCCGCCCCTGTTTATTTCACAGATTAGTCATTTGCATATGAATCTGTCAGGCACAAGGTCACACAGCCACTGAAAAAAATCATTGATTTTGGTGTTTTCATATGCCGAATTTATCCAATTATAGCTATCCCATTCCTTTATTTTTTTGGTTTCCAATAGCCTTACACATTTGGATATCCCTACACATGTTAAAACAGACCTTGATGGGAAAACAAATTGATTGTGACGATAAAA